AATGTGAATACAGAGCTAATATTTAATGAAAAACAGACCACTTTAAGTTACCATTACAATAATTTATTTCACCAAAATCCTTTTTAAAGGACTCCGGATCATCAGGTATGAATTCCAACAACGAAATGAAAGGAAAAATGGGATTAGAAATTGATAGGTAGTTTAATTTTTGTAATTTAACAGGGGTGGGGTGAGAATTGTAGTTAAAGAGACAAGGTAGAGTATAGGGAGGGATTAATTTTATATCTCTCTTAAGCATGCTTTATATTTGGGTAGGAGTAGTGACCGAATCTTGACCTCTTTAGATGGTTAACTTAACGGAAATGATATATAGGAATGGGAGGGGTGTGGGGAGAAAAGAAAAGGAAAAATGGAAAAGAGAGAGGAGACAGACGACAATAATACAGATATATCCAAAAGAGTGTTACGGCAAAGAGAGAGGGGGAGAGGGAAGTGAATCGAAAGAGGCTGTAATTTTGTTTTAACAAAATTATGTAAAAGATAGATTTCAATGCTTGATAGAAACTTAGATGTCTAAAAAATGATGAATGATATTAATTTAAACATTTAATTTTTTTAAGTAAATAGTTTAGGGGCTTAATATAAGTTAACTACTATTTTTATTAGCACATTTATCGAGAACATATTAAAGAAATATTTAAAATTATAATAGTTTACTTACCCGACCAATTGTACTTCCATAATATTGTAAAAACATTTCGGTAACAATAACATCTATATTAGTTTTACTTTTAATTTAATTTATGAATGCAATGTTTCTTTATTATTATATGGGTAAAATTAATTAAGGTTTAGGTTTCATTATTTAATAATATTTGAGGGTAATATTAAAGATTTTGTTTTCTTCTCATATGTATCTCACAAACATATTCATGCAAATCCATATATACATACGCTTATTTACATGTGCAAATACACACAGACACACGTGTAACAATATACACAAATGTTCATCTATCTTCATACATAAATTATATATATATACATTTTTCAATCATTACCTATATTTTAATATTTGAAATTTATTTAGATTTTAGTTTGATTTTATAGTTAAAGTTTAACTTTAGGTGACTTCTGAAGTGCCTCATTATTGAAGGAATTTAGTTAATATTATTATTACTATTAATAGTTAAAGAGTGGGATATTTAAATTTAAATTATCAATTTTAAAATGAAACTCCCTTAAGAAGATAAAAATACACTCAAAATTTAATTATAGAACATTAAAAGAGAAAGTGATATTAAATATTAAAAAGAGTAATTTAAAATACCATTAGAATGACCCAAGTACTTCCATTTAAAAATATTCCATACACGTATACACACATACATACACACATATATATATTTATCAATCTATTTATCTATATATATATATATATAGAGAGAGAGAGAGAGAGATACATATATACATATAGGTATACACATATACATATACAACCATATATATACACATATACATACATAAATACATATACCTACATATACACACACGATTATATACATAAAAAAAGCATATGAAAAGAATTCTAACCATAACTATCCACACATGCATATGCATTTATATTATGTTATACATCTATTCACACATATATTACAAATATTACTTCTAAGGTATATACATCTATATACATATACAGATTACAAGTAATTTAATATTCAAAATACTACACATATATAAATACATGTATACATATATATACCCGTATATATACATACAATATACATATACACATACATCTACACATATGCACAAATACATATTTGTACACATACATCCACACATATGTAAAAATACACACACATATATATATATATATATATATATATATATAACGATATCTAGCACAAAAGTAACGTTAGTACCTAAACATACCCCATACTTAAATATTTATACTCACATATATGTGTATATATATATATATATATATATATATATATATACCCATACATATATACACATACCTCCATACACATGTGCCCACAATTAAAAAAGTACATATATCCATATAAGCACCCTTATCCATAATGTATATATATATATATATATATATAAATTCATATATATATGTCTAAGTTCATCTACGTACATACTAACAAATATAGTATCCATGTATTCATACATTCATTTCAAAAACAAAATTAATATTTTCCCTTTTTATATAGTTGTTTCTAATCAAACTTCGTTAAATTGAGGTGGTTTTTATGTCTACATTTACAAATCAACTCGTTATGTTTGTTCAGTAATATGTCCGGATCCTTATGCTTTATTATTAAGATTTTTTCTATAATGCACAAATTGCATCGGTCTCTGAAGTTTATCGGAGTTCTAGCTCTCGAGAAGATTCTCCATTTTACTTGTGGGTTTAATTTGCTTTCCAACAACTCCCAATATTGTTTAGAAAGTGCAGTTTGATGTTTCTTTGATTTATTAGTGAAGGATTGGCGATGGTTATAAAACCGTTGCTTCCAATTTCCCGCCGATATCCCTATGTAGATATCCCTATGAAGATCTACATAGGGATAAGGGTGCTTATATGGATATATATATATATATATATATATATCTGTGCGTGTGTATTCTAGACTAGAAATGTGTTTTTGCAGGATTCACTAGTCAGCAGAAGCAAGAAAGCAGAATATATGTTTGGCAACAAATTGAATTGGAAAGCCCAAGAAGCGAACAATAAATTAGAGACCTCAGAATCAAGCGAGGACAAAGTTTAAATATCGAAATAGTGTTTTAATAGATGAAGAAATATAACACCAAATTCTGAAGACGCACTAGAATAGCAAAAGATGCCTTACATAAGCTAAGCAAAGTAAGAAACTAAGATTTCGTTAGGAGCCGAGAAAGAAGCGCTGAAATTTTTTCGTAAAATCGGTCCTCCTATATTTCAGGAAAATCTTCTCAGAGATTAATAAGTGACTTGGGGTAACAGAAATGTGGTTCTGCAGAAGGCTGTTGAGGATATCCTAGACTGAACATGTAAGCAGCGAGGGAGTTTTAGATTGAATGGAAACAAAAAGGACACTTATAATTCGGATTAGAAATAGACAATTCAAATTTGGCACAAAATGAAGGAAAGACGGCTTTTAAAAACTTTGGCACTCACAGGTCATATTAAAGGTAAAAGCGACATAGGGAAACAGCGAATAACCTTCTTAACAAGCCAGTGTAAACACACTATTTACATTATTCGGTCTATTGTCCTCATCTTTGTTGCCATATTTATTACAACGTTTCGATCGTTGTACGCTCCGTCCTTCTTCAGCTGGTTGGAATGTCGAACTGAACCTCTTTATTTCACTCACTGGGTTAGACTGTTCTAGTTCCACGTGACATGACTAATGGATGTCAGTTATCAGTTATCTCCTCTTAATTCCCCTCTCCACGTTCTCCATCGCCTTAACCAGGTATTTAACTAACTTTTGGGGGTCCTTTCACTGGATCTAACGCCTTTATTCACTGTGCCATGTGTTGAGGATAAATGCATTAGTTAAATCCAATCTGGTAGCTCGCTTAAATTCATGGAGTCCGGAAACCAGCGAAAGTAGCTCGTCGGAACTGTTGCCCTTGAAAATACTTTTTGAAGAAACAGAGTGAGGCCACGGCACGTCTGTGGGATAACGATTATAGACTAGGTGCCAGATCAGGACCTATCATCTTGCATATTCGTCTCTGGATTTTGTCGAGGATCTCGAGACGTACAATGGAAGCACCAGACCATATATGGTAGGCATATTCTATGCAAGGACGAATGGTTGATTTATAGATTTAAAGGATGTAATCGGGTGATAAAATCATTCTGGAACGACACAGAGAACCAACTTTCCTTGCGGTAGGTGAAGCTATTGATTCAATGTATTTATTCCACCTTATGTCAATGGACAGCGTGAGACCAAGCAGGCGTAACGAGGCGCACTCAAGGAGTTAGGAATCAGACCTTCTGATGGGAGACAGGAAGGGTTATCTGCGGTGGTTAAAGGAGAGCAGTTTCGTCTTGGAAGCATTAAAGTTTACAAGCCATTTCCTGCCCCAGTCAACCAGAGATTGGAGATCCTTTTCAAGATCAGCAGCCAGGTTAATTTTGTCAACGATACCAGATTTACTATTGAGGCAGGAATAAATAGTGGTGTCGTCTGCGTAGATGCCAGCTGGGGAACTGATGACATCAGGAAGGTCATTAATGAAGATCAGGAACAGTGTAGGGCCCAAAATAGAGCCCTGGGGAATCTCAGCGTTCAAGATAAAGGGGCCGGAGGAGAACCTGTTTAGAACGACCTTCATTTCACGGTTCGACAGGAATGTTTGTATTAAGTGAAATAATCGTCCTGTAATACCGTATCCCTGAAGTTTACGAAGAAGGCCGGCATGCCAAACCCTATCAAGCGCTTTAGAAAATTCTAGAGGCACGGCTCGAGCTTCTCCATTATTGTTGAGTGCTTGGTATACAAATTCAGTTATGGCCGTGAAAGCTTCAGTGGTATATCGGGCAAAGCGGAAACCATATTGCTTTTCGGAAAGCTGATTATGTAAAGTAAGGTGCTTAACCACTTCAGCGTTGATTAAAACCTCGAAAACTTTACCGAAGGGTGGTACGAGACTGATAGGACGCTAGTTAAACGGGTCAAAAGGATCACCAGAGTTTTTAGAGGTACAACAGATGATGACTTCCAACAGGCTGGAAAGAAAGAGTCAGCCAGGCAGTAGTTGTACAGTTTAGAGAGGACAGGAGACAATTCAGGAGCACATTTCTTCAGGACAATGACTGGTATCCCGTCCCACCACCAACCTTATGGGAGTCTTATTTAGAAATGATGTCCAATACCATCGTTGGGGTTATGTGCATCTTACTCAGTAGAGACATGGTTCCAGGGAGAAAGTCCGGTGTGGGTACACCAGATGAGTCTAGCGCTGAATTGGATGAAAACTTACGAGCAAAGCAATCAGCTTTATCAGCTGAGGAAGTCAGGACCTCATATTGGTTGAATATGATATCGAGTGCGGCCCATGTGATAGATAGATAGATAGATAGATAGATAGATAGAACCAGAAAAAGATAAGTACAGACTAACATAGATAGAACCAGAATAAGAAAGACAGAAAGAAACAAAGACAAACAGAACCAGAAAGAGATAAATGCAGACTAACATAGATAGATAGATAGATAGATAGATAGATAGATAGATAGAAGCAGAAATTACAGAATAACATAGATAGAACCAGAATGAGAAAGAAAGAAAGAAAGAAAGAACCAGAAAAAGATAAATGCAGACTAACATAGACAGACAGGCAGATAGATATTTTAGGGTAATTTTTCTGATTTCAAATTCTTCTTACTGTGCAGAATATGTTCAAATCAAGCTGGAGGAATATGTAAGTATAACTTTTATATAAAGTGGTTTGCATGGTATAAAGATGATAAATTCCACCGGTTCTTCTAGCAGACATCATTAATGTTTACTGCATATCTGAATTAGAAGTTATCTAAACATAGATACCAAAGACGTTGTGAAATTTCTAATGTTGTCAGGCCTCGTAGCTAATATAAGCATTTTCCCTTCAATGTATTTTCCCTTATGCAAGCTAATTTCGTATAAGTGGCTGTCAGCTCCGTCGATCAACAATAAGATGCCATTAAGATCAATTTGTCGGAAATTCGAATGACTACAGCGTAGCTTGGTGGTTTGAATAATTTAAGCTTCTCTAGCACTCGAAATCTTCTTGAATGGAATTAATTGGCGGAAAGTAATTTTACGATGGATTTTTAATCTACGAAAATAAGAAATCCTGCTTAATAAGATCAACGGATTAAACGATGCGTAGCAAATGACAAAAGAGGCTGATTTTCCATAATCCATCTTTCGTAAATTGTTTTAATATTCTCGATAATAGCAAACAATCTATATGTGTGGAGGGAGATGATGTTCTTAAGAAAGAAGCATTTTTATAAATTACACAAAATATATATATATATATATATATATATATATATATATATATATATATGTAAATCAATAGAAAATGTCTACATTTATAAACTCATGATATTTAAAATATATAAAACCTAAATTAATGCCAAAGTAAAATAATTTAAATACTAATTTAAAAAAAAATAAAAATTAATCACTTTCGTTTATTAGCCATTGAATTGTGTCTCATCATGTCTTCCACATCTTGCTTGACATTTCAACAAACTTTATGAATATTTCTGAGCGTCCTTAAATTTAAAAATGTAGTAAAACCAATCAGATTTTTGCTCTTGTATATAAATACTTGTTACATTTGCCTTGGACGATACGCATCGGCTAAGATAAGTTTTCTTTTATAAACTCTGTATGAAATTATATAGAGAGGGTGATTGAAAAATAACTTCCTATTTTAAAATACTTATAATTTATTTATTAACTATAATTTTAGAAGCAATGGATATGAGAGAAAAGCGGTTAGCATGAGGTTTTCTTTTAAAAATCCGATATGAGTACCAGATTTCGAGCCGCCCAGGAATCGCGTCAACTTATTTCACCAGGAACTCTTGTGGTGTGGAAGCATAACTTCTTGTTTCAACTTTCAAGTTCTTTCAAGTTCTTCCAAGGTCTTGGCTTGGTATAGAAGATTTGCTCCTTTAACTTATCCAAGAGAAAAAAAATGCTACAGGCTGTTAATCAGAACACCTGGCTGAAAACTCGTACATAAAATAGGGTGTTAGTTTACAATCACCCTGTATACACTATTCGGCATTCGTGGTTCAGGTATAAGATGTATAAGAAATTTCTCGAACTAAGATGCCCTAGCCGATTCATAACTGACTGATATCATATGAAAATGAGGACGGATCATTGACTTTCTTAATCGATGAGATCATGATTTCTTTTCATATTTTAAGGTTTTTCTTGAAGACAGGTGTCACGACATGCTTATCATCTGGAAAAAACTCATCTGTCCTGGAAATACATATTACTGTAAAGATTCCAATACTCTTTCCACTAAAAATACATGTTGCACTTAAGCAATGCTCGCCAAACGCTGGACAATCTATTTTGACAGCGTCTGTGGCAAATTTGTAGAACATCAAGAACTTCATTGGTCGAATGTGCCGGTGTCCGTAAGAATCGTAACAAAACGATAGAAAATCTCCCATAATAATATCTGTAACATTACAGAAAATAATATGGTTAACGTTTGGCAGTAATGAAAAAAATAAAGCAGAAACTATCTTAAGTACAAAAAAAAAACAAAAAAAAACAGATTGTTGATAAGATACGCTATTTCTGAAATACGATATGTTTATCAGGACCATCTGGAAAAAAATAAGAATTCTCCATTTTGTGAAATTCAAACTAATTTATTTTGAATGTTTTTTCCATAAGACTTAACAAGTGATAACTGCCACCCCGCTATAAATTAGTAGCCAAAACCAACCTCGTCCATTACAACGAAGTTTGATTTGGTTTGTTTTTACGCCATATCAACCTCAACAGATTATTCAATGCCGGCAAGATTTTTATTACTGGTAAACTAAACTCGGTAAACTCGGCCCTGTGCCACATATAACCTTCGTGAGGGTGGGGCTGCTAAATATAACAGTGGTATAGAACTGAAGGCTGGTCAACCGATACACACTCCCAAGTCGTGTAACACAGTTCTGTTGTATTTACTGATCAATACACCATTTATCTGGAATCTCTTGTTTTGTTATTTCTTAACCATTATTTGGTCACAACATTTTAATACATTTGGCTCAAATTTTGGTTCGTTCTATCGTCAGCATCGTCTGCATTTCTGCTGCCTCATGTCTCCTCTTCATCTGTGAGGAGATTCTTCAGCATTTACTGCTATATATGACTACTACTATTTCGTAACAGTACTTTGTGTTTTGCTGCGAATGAAATCTTTCTGTTTCTTAATACTCTACTTAGCTTTTGGAGGGCATCTTTGGTTATCCCAATGAGCCGTCTGATTTCAGTATTGCACTTTCCAATTTTTAATATTTCCTTTCATTTATTATTATTTCCTTTCATAACCGCCATGTTTTTCAAATCGTTTAGCTGAATGGGAGAAATTTCATTCAACTCTTATTTCCAACTTAAAGAAAAAAAAGAACTCCCTTTTCGTCTAATAACCCCAGCATGGCTCGGGCCACCTCGGTCACGATATCATAATCTCCGTCCAGCCACGTCTACTTCGCTCTTCATCTCTCAGTGCAAAGAATTATATTTATATTAGATTACCGTAACCAGAATGGCAACTGTCTGGTGATTTTTAATGTTGTCCAACTTATTTCCAGGTCATATACAGAGTTCCTGAGGTCATAATATTATTAAGTTTTTCATATGTGAGTATTATAAAATACTGGTTATCAGCATATGATTATGACTTGTAGAAAATTGATCCCCAACTTTAAGTCCAGCAATGCCATAAGCATTACGCTCTATTTTACTACAATGGGATCCGAGAGGTAATATTTCTTTTAGATTACCTCCCATCATAATACATCGATGAAGGTGCGTGTTGTGGGGAGGAAATGCAATGATATAAACGGGTGAGAAGAGGAGCAAAACATTTCGCCATCTTTTTAATTAATTTATTACCTTTCACTTTAGTTTGTGACGATCGCTATGTCTTTCAAATCATTTCGATGAAGTATAGAAATCTCTGTTAATTCCAAAACAGGACTTCCCATTCGTTACTCTGAGTGGTGGTGACTGGCCAAACGTCACAGACAATGACGTCTGAACCACAGTATTGCTTAATCACTTATCTCGCCTGGAAATACATATTACAATAAAAATTCCACTACTTCTTTCACTAAAAAAATATGTGTTGCACTTAAAAGACTGCTTGCCAAACGCTGGACAATCCATTTTGACAGCCTCTGCAGCAAATTTCTAGAACTTAAAGAACTTGGTTGGTCCAATTTGCAGAACTACGTTGGTTGAATGTGGCGGGCATCGTAAAAATCGCAAGAAAACGAGAGAAAACCTCCCATAATAATATCTAATAGATATGCTGTGTAACATTTTGTGTGTAAATTACAGAAAAAATATGGTTTGGCAGTTATAAAAAAAAAAAAAATCAGAAAATATCTAAAAAAAAAACAAAAAAAAAACAACTAAACAGATTTTTGATAAAATACGCCCTTCGTATGTACATTTCTACTAGTGTGGATAATTTCTTCAGGAACTAACTCACCTCGCTAGTTATTTTCTACAGGATGAACTTCATGGAAAAAAACCCATGCATATACGTACCAATTTTTAATTAATTCTAATATTATTTGTATTTTCATATCTCATTTCCTTTTTTCATCATTTTACTCCATGAAAGGCAATAAAGACACTAAGACGCAAAAGGGTGTGCTATAATCTAGAAAGGATTATGAGAGAATGAAGAATAACCAAAACGGAAGGTGGAAATAAAATGGTAATCTTTATAACATCAACAAAAATACAATACTCGCCAGCGGCGTGAAGTAGGTAAACCACTGCTAGTGGTGGACTACTTAGATAGCATATTACCCTCACTTACAATAGTGTCCAACATATTTATGAGGAATGGGAAATACCCATTAGTGTTCATAGGTATGGTATATAACACTCAGTTCAGGTTCTATCTATCTATCTATCTATCTATTGTAACCTAGAAAGGGTTATTGAATGAGGAATAACCAAAAATGATTCGAAATGAAATGGTAATTTTTATAACATCAACAAAATATAATACTCGCTAGCGGCGTGAAGTAGGTAAACCACTGCTAGTGGTGGACTACTTAGCATATTACCCCCACTTACAATAGTGTCCAACGTATTTATGAGTATTGGGACATACCCATTAGTGTTCATAGGTACGCTATATAACAGTGACAGAGAGTGAAAGAATAAGGAACAGAAACATTAATAATGGACAGGAAGAGTAAAGAGTAATCAGGAGGACACTAGTAGATAGCGATTGACATTACATTAACATTTTTGCAGATTAAAGATAGCTGGAAATCGTGAAATCGTAAGGGAGTTCCACAAGCGTGAAGTGCGAGAAAAGAAATTGTTAGTATAGAACTTACGGTAACATCTGGCCAGATCAACTGTAAATTGATGAGAACTCGAGGACACACTACTATAAAATTATACACAAAATATGTAGATTTCGACATTAAATAACTCATAGAGGCGTTGATATGCCGCTAACGAAAATCGACAATAAACTAATCTCTTCTCCCATTGCCCCTTTTAGAGTTCGCTGACGTATTATTAGTTCCCTATTTAAAAACTTCATATATATATTTATTTTTTTGAAACTGATTAATTTTGATATTTTCAATTTGTTATTAGCATGTTAGTTTGTGTCTTTTACTGTCATCCATACATTCATCTCTAGCTTATGAATACGATAATTATTACAAGGTAGCTTGGTACCGAAATCCAGTACTGGTATAAAGGTGAGGCTCATAGTAGTTAGCTCATAGTAGAGGGACGATTATTAATTTAATCTCGCAGACCGATTCTGAACTCATAATACCAAACCTCCAAGCGTATCTATCTTTTACGACTTTTGCTTAACTAAGCTTATTCAAAATCGACATCTTACAACGGACGGTACTAAGATAAACTGATATGTTAAAGTTGTATTGTTAGATCATGTAACGATTATACCCATGTATTCTGCTGTTGAAGTCTAGTTCTTTGAATCAAGCTTAAAAATTGCGTAAATCATTAGGTGTCTAACAAATTTTAGCAGACCTTTACTGTTCTTATAGGATCGATCCTCTTTGTCTGCCTCCGATGGGCGTCTTTCAGTCAGCTAATCTTCGCTCATGTAATATCGATAACACATGCACTTCAGTGATTTAGAGTGAGTTTAGAAGCACATCTGCCTTTGGCATGCAATGATAATTACGTGTCTTGCTCTCGAAGCGCAGTGATTGTATCAAATGACTTAATCTTTCTCTTTTTCATGTGTCATGTCCTTTCAGGACGTAGGCGATCATGGCTCTCCACCTTTTCCTATCCCTTGCAGCTCTCAACAAGTTCCTTCCTTCTGCTTCCTCCCCCAGACCACGTTCTGTCATCCACCTGCTCACGCACGCCAGGTATTATCACGCGATGTTTTCCCTTGTATTTCTTTCCGTCCATTCGACCCGTGTGTATCAAATTCTCTAGGCCGTTCTTCCTCATTATTTGTCCCAGAAACTTCAGCTGCCTCTTTCTGATATTAAGTATAAGCCTTCTTGTTTGTAACCTCTCTAAGACTTCATCGTTTCTCACACGCTCGGTTACCGTCTTTCTGTAAAATGACTTAATAGCATAACTCATAGTAGAGGCCTGATAAATAAGTTTTTTTTTCTCTCAGACCATCTATTAAGTTATTACTCTCCTAAAGTTTATCATACCTAAGTGTCTCTGAATTTGTATTTGAATTGAACGTACCTGATTAAATATCTAGACATTATAACTGAGGTTGTCAAATACAGAGTGATTAGCAAGAAGCTTATATGGTTAGCGCAGGTGGAGATTACTAAGAATTATTAGGCTACTGGGTCCCAGTGCTGAACTCACTAAAAGTGGGGATCCAACGAAAAGAAACGGTTAGCCGAAGAGAATGTTCTTTTGATTTCTTTCTGAATTACCCACCTTTGCTCACGGCTGCGTGATAGATTAAACTCTGTTAATATCCGCTCATGCACATTCTCACACACATACCGGCATTCTCTTTTTAGGACGAAGGATTTTTATTGCTTTTTTTATTCCTTATATAAGTACTTATTGTCATTCTTCTAAGGTCATACAAGCGTCACATAGATCGATTTATCAGGAAAAGTCTTCAGAATGACTCAACATTTTAAAAATCAACTTGCGTCTGATCATCCCGTTCTTTATCCCTGGTAACTTTACGTGTTTTTATGATCAGATATTTCCATTGTCAGTAGGGATTTTGTGTCTCAGATGTTGGTTTAAAGGATTTTTACCCGACTTAAGCCTGTTTCTATGTGTCAGCCCAGATAGTTATTTCAGAAGCTTAAGTAAGCAACTGTCGGTCATAAACGCAGTGGACATCTGTTGTAATGGTTATTAAGCAGAGATTAAGGAGAAGTCTGATATTTTGGTAGTATTCTCACGAATCGCCTTGCCATACTTAACAGAGTACAAAAATGGGGACGCAAGAGAAGAAAGAAAGAAAGAAAGAAAAAGCTTGATTAGAAAATGAAGGACGACGGAATAGATGAAAAGAAAAAAGTTAAAACGACTAAAATAAATAGAGAAAAATGAAAGTTTTAATGGATAAAAAGAAAGATGCAAAGAATTAGGAGAAATAAACTAAAGAAAGAAAGAAAAGAATGAATGAAAAAATGGAGAGAGACCACAAATAATAGAAAGAGAAAGATAGAGAGAGAAAGGAAAGAAAAAAAGAAAAAAGAAAGAAAGGAAAAGAGAGGAAGGAAATAGAAAAAAAGAAAGAATGAGTGAGAGAAATAAATAAAAACGAAAAAAAATGAAAATTGAGAGAGCGAGAGAGAGCAAATAATAGAAAAAAAAAAGAGAATAAGAAAGAAAGAAAAAAGAAAGAAAGAAAGAAAGAAAGAAAAAAAAAGAAAAAAAGTAGAAGATAGCAGTGAGAAAAAAGAAAGAGAAAGAAAGAAGTGGAGTCTAGAAAAAGGAGAGAAGAAAGAAGGAAAGAAAGAAAAAGAAAAAAAAAAGAAAGAAAAAAAAAAGAAAGAAAGAAAAAAAGAAAAGAAAGAAAAAAGAAAAAAAAGAAAGAAAAAAAAAGCTTGATTAGAAAATGAATGACGACGGAATAGATGAAAAAAAAAAAGTTAAAACGAGGTGAGAAAAAATAAATAGAAAAAAAATTAAAGTTTCAATGGATAAAAAGAAAGATGCAAAGAATTAGGAGAAATAAATAAACTAAAGAAAGAAAGAAAGAAAGAAAGAAATAATGAAAAAATGGAGAGAGACCGCAAATAATAGAAAGAGAAAGAAAGAGGGAAATAAAAAGAAACAAAGAAAGGGAGAGGAAGGAATAGAAAAAAGAAAGAAAGAGAGGGCGAGAGCAATACATAAATTAAAAAATGAAAATTGGAGAGAGCGAGAGAGAGCAAATAATAGAGAAAAAAAGAGAGAATAATAGAGAAAGAACGAGAAAGAATGATAAAAGTAGAAGATAGCTGTGAGAAAAAAAGAAAGAGAAAGAAAGAAGTGGAGGCTAGCAGGGAGAAGAGAAAGAAAGAAAGAAAAAAGAAAGAAAGAAAGAAAGAAAGAAAGGGAGAGAAAGAAGTAAAAAAAAGTTAGAGGGGGGAGAGTAAGGAAAAAAAAAAGAAACAAATAAACAAACACACATGCAAAAACAAGAATAAAGCAAGACAAAACCGTAAAAGAAAATCTGGAATAAATAGAAGGAAAACAAACATAAATGAATGAAATCTAAGAAAATAAAGAAATGCACAGTGAATAAATGGAAAACGAATGAACAAATGAATTGTGGAAAAAGTTTACAGAAGAAAGAAAGAAAAATAAAGATGAAAAGGATGATGAGAAAAAAGAACGAACGCTAAAAATGGAAAAGAAGAAACGAAAGAAGGACGATGAAAAGAAGGGAAAAGAGGAAATGATAAAACTTAAATAAATATTGAAAGACAAGAAGAAAAAAGAAAGATGGCAAGAAAGCAAATAGTAGAATGAAAAAATGAAAGACAAAAAAGAAAGAAAGAAAAATAGAGAAAGATGAAAACAAATAGGTAAGATAAAAAGAATTATGGAATGAAAGATAAAAAGGTGAAGGGAAAGAAGGAATAAAATTTAAATAAAGAAAATTGAAAGGAGAAATTTAAAAAAAAAACACAAGAGAGAAAGAAGTATCAGAGAATTACATGAAAAGTGAAAATGATGAGAACAAAAACAAAGGAAGGACAATGTAAAGAAAAGAGAATGAAAGATGAAAAAAATAAAATAAAAAAGAAAGTTGACGAGAAAGGTGAACAGAACGATGAAAAAGCAAGATGAAAAGAAGAAAGTAAAACTATCAACATAAAGGAAGATAAATAAAAGTAATAGATACAAAAAAGAAAAAGAAAAAAAGAATGACGAGATAGAAAGTAAGTGTTTAAATTGTAGAAACCTGACATGATGTGAAAGAAGCAAGTAAAAAGAAAAAAAAAGATGGCGGGGGAAAAGAAGAAAGCAAAAATAAATAAAAAATATTAAAATATGGATAAAAATAAATAAGAGATCGAAAAAAACAAACAAATACGATTAATATAAAGCAAGAAGAAGAAAGAAAAAGTTTCCAAAGAATATGAGGGAAAAGAATTAAGAACGACAAAAATAAAATAAAAAACGAGGCAAAAAGAAAGATGAAAAAAGAAGGAAAAATATTAATTATGACATAACGAACACTGTATATTTTCCCAAAGTAGACTCAAGCTCATGTGTCTTCCCGCGTGATTGAATGCAGGAAAAATGGGTTTACCTACTTGCATATATATATATATATATATATATATCACGTTACTGTGATAAGAAAATATGGCGGAAAACTGAATCAACAAGCGGAGTTCAACATTCACTGAGGTAGCTTGCGTTCACTTTTGTTTTTAATCATTTCATCCACTCAAATGCAAGGGTTCGCCGGGGGAGAAAGAAACAAAGGAAAATAAAAGAAAAAGGTTTCAAGCAGACAGAAGAATAACGATTTACGCTGAATTTAAACAATTTTTAAAAGTCAAAATTGAAGAGAAACCAAGAAGCCGGAAGAGAATTCTACAGGTGAAAATTGCAAGAAAAGGGACTGTTAGAATAGAACATACAGTTACTTCTACCAACTTCAACAGTGAAGTCATGAGACCTAGCCGCTAATCTAGTACTGCGATTAAATTCGTGAGTACAGGGTAACAAAGAGGAAAGCAATATTTACCTTTTATATATATATATATATATATATATATATATATATATATATATATATATTAATAGAAGAAGAGAGGTTCAAACATTTTGTTGTAATGTGTTTTTTAGAAAAAATATTATGCTTTATTTTCCATAATTTTACTACACGTGTTTCTGGTCTCGTGACAGTCTTCAAGAAAAAACTTATTATTTTTAATAACATGTGGAAATTCCTGCTTTTACCTGAAGACGGTCACGAGACCAGAAACACGTGTAGTAAAATTATGGAAAATAAAGCATAATATTTTTTTTCTAAAAAACATTACAATCAAAAACGTTTGCGGCACCTCTTCTCGTGTTTTTTTTTAATATAATACTTTTTCCTCGTTGGAACCACTACAACCGCTTTTTATTATTATATATATATATATATATATATATATATATATATATATATATATATAAAAAGTTAGGTCACATGAATTAAAACGAAAGACGAACATAAGGCTGGAAATAAGGTTGAGAAGTAACATTTTCGTTTTGGTTGCTTGAAATTGGGCAAGCTGAAATATCGGTCTTCCTATTAAGAAATGAATGCTGGACAGTTGAAGAAGAAATCTGAAGCAACAGAAAATGGTTCTACAGAAGGATGATGATAATACGTTGACTGAATACGTCAGTAAAGACGAAGTTTTAGAGCAAATGGACAAAAAATAGGGCACATAATAAAATTCATGAAACATAGACATTTTCAATAAGAAGAAAACGCCATATGACGACTCACTGAAAAAAAAAAAGTGGATATACACAACTAAAATACACACCTCCACAAGCGACAAACTAAAACAGAAAAAGAAACATTATGTAGTTTAACCCACCATACAGCAAAACCGTCAAAACCTAAACATAGGAAGGACATGCCTAATCTTAATAGAAAAGCATTTCGCTGCAACAAACCGAGTAGCAAAAATATTCAACAAAAACAACGTTAAGATCAGTTACAGCTTCTCCCAAAAAAATATAATACATATAATAAGCCACAACAAAAAAGGAACAACCTAGAATAATAAGATAAAAAAAAAATCGCAGTTTCGGCAGAGAACAAAAAAAGTGAAACATGTTAGATTGATAAATGCTTCCTATTTGTTTTTATTTTATCATACTGTCAGATATCTAATCTGAATTATATATATATATATATATATATATATATATATATATATATATATATATGGGCATCAAATGACAATTGTAAAAAAATCTTACATTTTGCCGACGCGTTTTCGTCTTCCGACTTTTTCAAGGCAAAAATGAAATCGAAATGTTTTTGTTGTTATAGTTACATTAAAAATACAAATTTAAAAAGATAGACGCTTCTGTCTAAGCCTTTTTTTTTTTTGGTTAATGTAAATTACTTTTATAGTAAGGGATTATTATTATTATTATTGTCTTGTCCACCGAATTCATCTGGGAATTTAACTATATATATATATATATATATATATATATATATATATATATATATATATATATATATATATTCAACACATCACTTAAGTAGACACCAGAATCGTTGAAACAAAAAAGGTTTTACAGGATATGTGCAAATTTATATTTCTATATATTATAGATGCAATAAGCCTATTTCGAAATTTCATGCCATCTGACATGTATAATACTCAACATATTTTTATTGTTGGTAAATATAAAAAGCAGATTATGCAAAGGCTTTTCTCAAATTTATATATTAGAATTTTGTTGGTTTAATCTACGTTTGTATTCATAAATCCTCACCAATGGAGTCCGAGAAAGTTTTTTCGAACATATCAGATGTTACATATATACATAATCTTGATATGTAGATGGAGTGAATTGTAGATATAACTTACATGACAGAATTTACATTTTCGGCCTATTCTCTAAATGTAAAATTGATGGAACTGAACCCTTTCTTCTTCAATCCAAATTATCGTAGACTGGTCATCTCGTCACGAGTGAACGACAATAGAATTCTACGATGGAACAAGAACTGAAGGAAGAATATGGCTGAGGTACAAAGACGAGTACAAAGATAAGCTGAAAGCGACGGTGATTCGTCTAAAGAGATTTGTAAAAAGCGCATCGAATAGCAATGAATAGTGAGAAACTTTCTATAAAGACATTAGAACAAAAAAAAAACTTTGACATAAGTTATCTGAACAATCTTAAAGAATTGAGAACAAAGATATAGGCCCGACCTAATACAGCAACCGCTTTACATACAAATCCTCTCATATACAACCTGTGATCTTGCTTAAAAATCATCCGTTGCATTAAAGTCATTATGGACATGACTATCAGGCCATCCATACAATTCACCTCATTCATGCTTACCAACCGATTATATATATATATATATATATATATATATATATATATATATATATATATATATATCTGTGTGTGTGTGTATTTAGGCAGCAAATTCTCTTTTAGACATGTCTGATTAAATAAATTACAGACATTATGTCTGCTAATTTTTAACAAAAACCATTTATACTCACAAATAACTTTCCGTGTATTGATGTTAAATGTGATATAGCTGTTTGAATTTCTTTTATTTTTATTTCCCTAGTACTTTCGTTTTTCTTCCAAGATCATCTTCAAGGGTGCAAATTATACAAAACTATGTTATTCATTATTACACCCGCGCGCACACACACACGTATATATATATATATATATATATATATATATATGTGTGTGTGTGTGTGTGTGTGTGTGTATATATATATATATATATATATATGTGTGTGTGTGTGTGTGTGTGAATTGAGATATTTGTTTAATAAGGTTTTATTCCTTTTGTCTTTGTTCATAGTTTCCATTTAGAGTTATATTTTAGTAATATCCTAAATTGACGTAATTTTCAGTTGACAATATGAATACAATAGCGTTTTCTAAATTCTAGTTGCTAAGGAAATTCTTTGTTGTTAATAGTTACTATGTTTTCAATAAATTCATTTCGTTTTTGCTTTGAAAAAGTCCACATTAGACGAAACGCGTCGGCTAATTATACAGTTTTCCTATGGTTTTTTACCTTTATATATATTGCCTTTTTCTACAGGGTAACTCTGAGAAATTTCTCATATATATATATATATATATATATATATATGTGTGTGTTTATATTTAGTTTATATTTAGGCATAAATTTTTCATTAATTCATATTTCATTAAATAATATAGACAAGTTCTGTCTATTTATTTTAAGTAAGTTCTTTTCATATTACCGTTGAAAGACTAAAAGAAAACACCAAATTGATACATGTTTAAATCCAATCCGCGTCTCGTATATACGAGTTTGTCGTTTCTTGGAAATTTTTATGCAGCAAGGGCGGACTATCTTTGTTGTTTCGTTCGTTGTTGTTTGATTTATTGAATTTGTCATGTTTGATAATAGCTCTGTAAGCCAAAAGCTTCAATTGGATTTAAACATGTATCAGTATGGGGATTTCCAAGGGGACACTCTCAGGACTATAAATATGTTTGTTGTGTGCATTCCATTATCTCTCAACGCATACACCGGCCCACAACAGGCTGATGATGCACGATGTGATAATCATTTTCTCCTGATAACAAGAGACACACACGACTATATATGTACAGACTCAAATATACATTTACACACCTTTTTTGCAAACCGACAGCCAGTGAAGAAAACCATCGACAGAATTCTCTTCCTAACTTACCATGCACGATGGACACAATTTACACAGACATACAATCTATAATTCTACCCTATGAAAGTTCAAAAACAAAAAAATTCATATGCTACAACTTATCTACGCAAACCATGATCTTATCTGACTCGGCAGATAGAAATGTTTGCAACATATGGGACCGGAAAAAAATTGCTAATCGCCTTTCAATTACTTGTACTTTGGTCCATCAGTAAGCCAAAACACACTCTTCATTCCTACTCTCTTTTTGCTTGACCCTGTTCTTCTCTCAGGTGCCATTACGCTCGACTTGAACTCAACTGGCAGACATAATTTTCGACAAAATGAAAATACAACTCTATTTCAACTTTAATCATCACTGTTTCTCCTGGGTTAATCAGATAAAGTATTACGTATCTCAAAAGGCATCTCATGGTCCTTTTATTCACTCTACAACGATGCCACTCGAACAACATTAAGAATTTGCAAATACGATATAGAGAACGACAATAATAGTAAATTTTCTTAAAGTTCTCAAA